ACTTTTTGTTGAAACCGTTCCTATTATCCACCTATACATTCAAGAGTCACTTATTCTGATGAACATCCGTCAAAGTCTGTTCTCCTTTCCAATTTATTTGCGTTTAGAGCGCCGCCTTTTCTCGTTTTCACACCTGGAGCGTTTTACTTCCACCTTATGAGATTTCGCAGAACAAATTTTCGAAATTATGCGGTTAATATTATATTTCCGTTCATTCCTACCGTGTTATTTAATATCCAGCAATTTTTCTCAATGAAATTCGAATTGTAGCGAATTTTCTTTTCTAATCGCGCAAGCAGCCGAATAAATTTCAATCGATACGTAATCCAAGTCGCAACGAATTCCTAAGAAATACATTTCACGTGATAACTACCATATCTGTATCCGACATTTGTGTCCGTCGCGTCTGTGTGATTCCAAGGCACTTCGCTCCATCGTAATACGTTATACGATAAATATGCAATATGACGTTTCTCTCTCGCGAAATACGTTTTACCGCATCAAACGGGATCGCGTCGGAGAATAAGCTCGCGACAAGGCCATCGGTATTCCCTCCAAGACAGAGGGAGGCGGGCGCGACGTCGAGGGGGAGGAATGCAGGGCAGAAATAACGTATCTCCGCGTATCGACTCGGAAAGAGAAACGGAGATGCGCCCCGCAGAGCCGAGCACACGAATGCCTTTGATGACGGTTCAAAAAGAGAGATGATCATGTTGCTAAAGGCGATTCATGGCTCTCATAGTGGCGTAGTAAAAAACCCCGGATGGGGAACCCAATGATGCTCGATATAAAGCTCAAAAGACGCGCCGAGAATGTCAACTCTTTCGATGGCCGTATAGGAAGAATTTGAGATTCACGCCGCGCAAGTGTCGACGCGATGAGTCAATTTTCAACGAGATTGTCGTCAGCCGTCCAAATAAGAAATCAAGAAATATAAAAAACATAGAAAAGTTCATACGATCAAATTACTCACACATTTATCTAAAAAAATTAACTACTGTCTAAAGAATAAAAAATTTTGGTACAAAGCTACGCGAGAAATTCTCTCCCTCCTCCCTTCCCTCAATCCATTTCTTTTTCTCTCTAGGTTCTTTCTTTACCTTTTCATTTTTCGTTCTCATAGGGGATACATTAAATGTATCAACAGTGTAAAATATGTATTGTCCCTCAACGACCCATATTGCTCACAGAGGACGCTAAATTCAGCATTACCGACGAAGAATTAATCATTCATTTTCTAAATAACAGTCATGTTGAATTCTCCGGTGTTTCCCTTGAGTATACTCAGCACCCATTTCTTTCCTCTCAGTTATAAGAAAGATGCAGGTAGTTTGAGAGGTACGTTCACCTTCTCACCGGGGCGTACTCGTTCTAACGAGTGTGCGGTCGCGTCTAATACACGTTACTGATTGATCGATTCGCAGTTCCGCTCCCGTTCCTGAACAGCTCGCCGGGAAATTGCGAGCAGCCGTTCGCTAACAAGTAACCTTAACTGTGTCCTAATCATTTTCGCGTTCCAGTTTACGTTGGAGAGGCCTCTCTTCGCGCTCTCCGTCCGGGCGAAGTGGTCGCCGCACGCTCACGATATCGAACTCGTCGTCGACGACGTTGTCCTGTTGCAAACCAAAATGTCATTGGCTCTCGTGTGTGCGGAGGCACAAAAGCGAGCGTCGTTGTGTACGAGATGCTTGACGTTGAGGTCAGTCGTCCGCTTCTAATTATTCGTACAATTAAATTGGTGAGACAGAATGAGACCGGGAAAGGATACTTCCACTCTCTTCTCGAAATCGTGGCGCGCTTCGCCGAGTAATTAATGTCGGAGATCAGACGAAACGAGTGAAAATACGATGATACAGAGAGAACGCGGCTTCCGTCGTAACGCGAGGAGAAACTCCTCTCAACTTCGACACACGAAGGTGTGCGAAATTCGCCAGATTCAACGCGAGGTAGAATTATTTTAAATAACTTATCAAAGCTCTCTCTCTCTCTCTTTCTCTTTCAAATGTATGGTCAACTGAAAACGAGAAAAGCCAATAAGGCTGACGTGAGATGTAAATTACGAAGTTCAATTTTCAAGGAACGAAATACGAAATGGAATGTCAAACGACCCCTCGCAGAGTTGCCTAAACGTTTCGGCCACGACCCCCAGTCGAAATTTGGATGTTACTTTGACGCTCTTAAAAATAGTTTGTGTCTACTTAGGCGGCCTATAAACTAATAAAAACCTATTTTGACGATATTACATATGATAACCTTTCTCTTCAGCCTTGAATTTTGCAGATTTAATTTTAATACTATCTTGAAGTCACAAATGCTCCCGATATTTCGATTACTAACCCTTCTAAAGAAAAGTGAAGGAGTAGGACGTAAACAGAAAGGGTGATGAGTGATCCAAATATATAAATATGCATTCTGTTTGTTTATAAATGAGGAAAGGGCACAAAAATAATATAAAACAATAAGCAAGAATATGTATTTTTCAAAAATACTATAACAATATAATAGAATCTCTCGCTGGAGGTTGATGAATGACCATTACCTTTTTTTACGAGGGTTAAATTCATATGAACATTAATGAGGGTTAAATTCAAAACAATCTATTTTGCTTCTCTATTTCGATATATTTTTTCACCGTTCTATTTTGAATTTCCGTTTTGATTTTCATTAAAAACAATGAGAAAAGAAATTTAAGACATTATCGTGGTCAAAGTAAAAATAAATTATATCATTAGAATAGAATCTACTTTGTTATCTTAGCTCCTACTGTGTTGTAGAATTGAAGGTTTAACGTAGAAGAAAAAAATTACGACTCGGGATCTCGACATTTCCCGATGGAAAAATCCCGAAAAAGGAAACGAGGGAGCGAGCATTATTTGGTTGTGCTGTGATTTATCACCCATGTGTGATACCAGAACCTGGGAGGACACTCCGTATACCTCAGGATGAGCACGAGGCTGGGATTACTCTATACGACGTGGGAATTAATTTTTCAGAAATTTTCACGCGACTTCGCGAGATAGACGAGACATCACAGTGTTCGCTCGCTCTAAATGGCCCGGGCTGTTAGCGTGTCGCTACAATGGCACCGGACGATACGTTGTTAAATCTCCGCGTGACGTCGGTGAACTGGGAAGAGTGGGAGTGAGAAAGAGAGAGAGCACTTGCCATTAGTCTCTCCCGAAAGGAGTGCTTTCGTCCGAGAAACGGACGAAAACGGCTCCGTGCCATTCTTGAATGTCCAATTAGGGTAAAAGGCGCGAAGGAAGGTGGACGAGTGGCCGACGAACAAATGTACTTCTCTCTCCCCCTCCCTCCGGTCCTCTCGTCTTCCGTCTCTCTCTTTCAGAAGGAAGCACTCGAAAATAATATTTCGCCATTCTTCTCCGAGTCGCTGCGTGGCGATCCTGCGATTTGCCCACGAATTCGAATCCGATATCGCGAATTTGATATTAGCAGATATATCCACTTATTTGGTCCGAGTTAAACCGGTCGCGGATTTATCGAGATATTAGAAGGCAAAATCCGCTTACGCAGCACGCCGATATGTCGATGCACGTCGGAAAACAGGATCAACTCGCTGCAGCCCTCGGTCTGATTAAAATCCGACTTAAATCTGCTCATGCAATATCTGGTCTTTCTCTCTCCCTCCCTCTCCCCCCTCTCTCCCTCTTTCGTCGAGATCGATCGCGAGTACGGGATAACGAAATATTTAGAACCGAGATTCGACCCGTACTCCTTATTTAGATGGCTGTAAATTGCAACGCGATATTTAAAGCCAGGAGATCCGTTTCGCAGTCTAATCTGGAGAGCCCGTGTTGCAAATTACCGCGACGAGATATTAAAGGCCGGCGTTTGCCTACGCAACCACCTCCTCTACACCTCCTCCTTTTCCAACCGCCACCGCCGACTGTATCACCGTCTCCTCCAGACCGACTGCGAATTTATCGAAACGTTAAAAGCTGAGATCCGCTTACAGTCTCGCCTAAACTGGCTACAAATTTGTCGGGCCATTAAAAGCCAGGATCGGCTTACGGAGCGAACGAATCATTCGGACGCGATCGGGTTGTATCGGTATATTAAACAGCTGAAATCCGCGAGTAATTTCGTCGATGGTGAGTCTAATTCACGATGTTTCAATTTTTTCGTCAGCGCTCAGTTAGTCACAAAACTTGAACACTATACGCTCGTTATCGTAGTTTCAACGATTTTCGACCTTATGTATATTTATGTAAGACCGAAAATCGTGAAAACAACTTTAATTAAAATGGTAAGGTATACGTAACATGATACGCATCTGAGTTAGTATGAAGTAACGATTAATTAATTAATAGAAAATTTATATTTTTATCGTGTCAAGAACAATAAACCGCTGCTTGACAACCTGTTCACCGGCTTTCAACGCAAGTTGCAGAAGAGAGGCACTATAGTAGCGTCTCCTGTTAAAAAATTGTTTTGCAAGAAATCATAACAGTGAAGTTTCATCCTAAAAAGATCGTTGAGTAAGAAGCCTTTAAAGTAGCGTTTTATTTTAAAGGTCGTTTGGTAGGAAGCCATTATAGTGGCGTTTCGCCCAAAAAATCGCTCAGCGAGAAACCGCTATAGTAGCATTTTATTTTGAAAATCGCTCAGCAGAAATCACTGCAGCAGCGTTTTACCATAAAATCATTTAGTAAGAAACCGTTATAGTGACCTTTTATCCACAAAAATCGTTTAACAAGGAACCACTATAGTAGCGATTTATCTTGAAAGTCGTTTGGTGGGAAGCTGCTATATAGTGACGTTTCGGCCCGACAACATCGTTCAGCGAGAAATAACCCAAAAGAGAAACACCGAGGAATCAGCGATGTTCCATCCTAAAAGATCATTTAGCAGGGATAGGCGTTGACATGATGGCGTTTCGTCCACATCATTTAGCGGCAATGGCCGTTCTAATGACGTAGTAGCAAAAAGAGTACGTACATCTGCGCGCACACACGTGAGGAGAAGGCGAAACCACTCACCGATACAGCATGCGCTCCTGACGATCCGCCTCCCGGTAGATCCTGTAGTACATCGCGATCATGATGATGCCGGGCACCCAGAAGCTGACGCCGGAGCTGATGACCGCGTAAAACTTGTTTACCTGGAACACGCACACGTCCGGATAGTTGCGCCGATATTCGAGGTGCTCCTGCGTGGTGTACCAGCCGGCGAAGATCGGCAAGAAGCTCATGACGGTGGGCGAGCACCAGACGACGCTGAGCATCGTGCCGAGGCGCAGGTTCGTCATGATGAGCGGGTAATCGAGCGGCTGCACGATCGCGTAATAACGGTCCACGCTGATGCAGCACAGGTGGAGGATCGAGACGGTGCTGAAGAACACGTCGAGCGAGTTCCACACGTCGCACATGAAGTAGCCGAAGAGCCAACGGCCGCCCGACAGTTCGACCGACGCGTTGAACGTCATCGCGAACAGCGCGACCAACATGTCGGCCAACGCGAGCGACACCACGAAGTAGTTGGTGATGACGCGCAGCTTCCGGTGCCGCATCACCGACACGATCACCAGTAGGTTGCCGAAGAGGGCGCACAGAATGATGAAGCCCATCACGAGCGCCTTGGCGGTCAGCAGCAACACGTACTCGACCTCGCGCCGCTCGCCCTCGCTGGCGTTGGCTCCACGTTGGCCGGCGTCGAGCAGCAGCTCGCCGAACAGGCTCGTCGCCGACAGACCCGCCGTCGTGTTGTCCAATGTCTCCTCCTCCAACAGCGTCGTCTCGTTGAAGCGCATCTTGAAGAGTCGGGGAAGCCCCGACGCTCCTTCCCCCGGGAGACAACCCACTGGCTACCGTCCCCTACGGCAATCGGCCACTTCTTCGTCTTCTTCCTCGTCACCGGCGTGGACCACGAAGGCTGACCGCCCGGCCATCGAAGATGTTCCCCGAAGCGAGGTTACGCCCAGACGGTGTCGCGCACGTTTATCACGTCGATGACGGTGTCGTGACGACGGCCGGTCTCGAGGGTGCACGAAAGTTCTTGCTGCCGAAGTACTTCCGGCTGGTTCATGGAAATTTCTCTCGGGGGGACGCGCGGCCGACGCGTCGATGAGGCCCGCGATGCTGGAGTCGGCCGCGAACGCATCTCGGATCGTGAGCTTCGGTCGAGCTTGCTCTGAAACGGCTGATCTGCATCCGGCTCGGGCGAGTGCTTCGGGTGTCTCCACTGAGGTTGGAGCAACAGCTACCTGAGCAGGTGCTTCGTATACTTGATTCTTGGACTACGCTACTGATTGTCCATGGGTCGCGAGGAAGTCGACTGCAGTCGCGGAGTCCGTTGGATCCTCCTCTTCGGGGCGCGCTTGCAGCCGAGAGGACGAGATTCGCGCGCGACCTCGAGCCCCTCGTGAGTTTTCCCGAGGAGTTCTCCACGCGAAGGTGATCTGCAAACGAGACGAGGACGTAAGTCCGCAATGGCGAAGCTTTCATTCACTCTTGAGATTCATTTGAGTGATGTAATTAGAAGAAACGCGCCAAAACTGACACAGTAGATCAAATGGTATGGAAAGTCGACATACTCATGTTTCTTGACTATAAAGCACGAAACTCTGTCGAATAGCGCATAAGCTTTATCTACTGCGTGCGATAAGTAGAGCTGAAGTGACAATTTTTGTTTTCAAACGCGTTTAGTTATGCTATCAGCGTTGATTGATCTTTCGATGTACTGAAGCTTCTCTCGAGCTATCTTCTTGTAAATTTTCAAACAACAAATCAATGGAAAGTAATTTATTGAGAAGTATTATTTTATAGTGTAAGTTTTGAATTTTTTTAATCATTTTGGAATGTACCAATTTCTATCCTCTGTTACTGAACCACGCAAGAAATATTAAAGTTAGGTCGTTCCGTGAACCGACATACCTGAGTTTATTGGTCTTTCAACCGACATACTTGAACTTTGCTGTGAAATATCTGGTTTGTTTTTTATAGCTAAACTGGCTGCACTAGTTCAAGAAATTTACGAACATTGAAGCGTGAGATCTCGTACGTGCACTTCACACTCTTCAAATATATGTAAATTTTTTTAACTAGTGTAAGCTTAGCTAAAAAAAAAACAGACTAATAATCTCACAGGATATAGTTGAAACTACCTGTGATTGATTTTCCCTTAATTTTCTTATTTGTTTGTGTAAGATGCTTGGAAAGAAAAAGTCAGGATATCCCTTTTCATATAATAAAAAATATGTTATATTAAAGATAACAATATATAAGAATATATAATAAATATACACAAAATAATGTAATTTCAGCGCTTTTATTTCATTTTTGACAATTTTCTGGTAGGAAAATGAAATCTGGTAGATATCAGTTGAATATGAACATGTCAGTTTCGGAGATTACTTTCTCGAAACGTTGTTTCTCCAACTTCTTAAAAAGTAGTTATTTTCAAGATAATAATTTTCAAAAATTACGATATATTTTAATAGAAAAATGTTATCATGTTGCATCTACGCAAATAAATTTCAATTTTACATTTTTAATAGGACTTTAATATCTAAAAACAAAATGGTCAGTCTTTGTGTTTTTCCATTAAATTTTCCACTAAATTTTCAAAAATCAGATAAATTTTCGTGGGCTTCTTTTGGGTGATATAAAATTTAAAATTAAGATGGAAGTTGGTCTACTGGTCCAGGCCAATTAATTAAAAAATCGCTAATGAAAATAGAAATTTCATTAATTTCTTCATTGATAGAAACGTGTCAACCGTTTATTTTACAGAGAGCAATGTTACTTTATCGAAGTAAGTTAATTAAGAATTCAATGGCGTCTCCGCGAACAACAAGCACCCGAGATGTCAATTTCAATAATTTCATTGTTGCAAGAAACGCATCTTTACTTATTCCGAACGGTGATATAAAACTTCATTAAAGGTAGTTAATTAAAAATCGACAAGCGGTATCCCGACATTGGCGTTTCGGCCGTTTCGGCTTCAAGTTATTTTCAAAACGAGACTTTCCGTCTTGTCCTTTAAATGTCATTTATCCACGTCGAAATTTCTCAAGAGTTTGCCAGGTACAACATAAGTTCTGATTGGAATACAAATTTGTCTCAAAATAGGTTATCATGCTACGATATCTATTGAAACTCAAATGGAAATTCTGTTCACAAACTAGATTTTTTATCTTAAATCAAAACGAAAACATTGGAAATTCATGTTTTTTTAAGTGAAATTGTTACATTTAAAAAAAATTGAATAGGGAACTTCAATGTTACACACAACAACTATTAAATTTAATAAAATATAAAATATAAATAAATACGCGCGTGTGTTGGCCGCAATATTCTTTAATAATTATACATTAAATAAGTTAATAATAAAAGCTAATAATAAAAAAATATTAAATTTTCGATTGAAAGTCGTGAAAAAATATAAATTTAGGTAAAATTAAATATAAATTAAATTATCATATGATTAACTTCAAATAATAGATAGCAATTATTCTAAATCATTTATTAGCGTAATAAATATCAGACAAATGTTTTTATCGATTTAAATATTTCCAAGTTTAATTTGAAAACCAGGAAAATTATTTGGAAAATCACGAGTAGATCAAATGGTTTGCGTTTCCCGCTTGAAATCGCGCTTATCATCATATTTCTGATCTGAATCCTTGTAAATTCTTGAGATTCTCCAGCCCAAGCACATAATTTTCTCGAAAAATCGGCCTGGATCCCAATTGGATGCAGGCCGAGAACATATTTTATACGTGTGTATCTGCGCCGTTCGACTGAATCAATTGCCCTCTTTGCTTTTCAACGCACGAAATGATCCGAATTATTCGCATTCGGTGTATATGGATACGATGTGCGCGTGTATAAAAGGCCGTTGATTCGTACCGTATGCTATTTACCACGCGGTAAATATGCCTAGCGCGCATATAGAACTGCTGTCGAAATTGAATTTGCACAGGAGCGTGGCATCGGACACGCGCTCGAATAATGAATCGCAACAATAACGGCCTAATGCTAACGCTCAAGCGGCGTGTACACACGGAGCCTTGCGAAATACGTAGCGTTGAATCCGCGAAGAGACGATTCCACGTGGAAACACAAGTCGAAGCGTCGTGGAATCAATTTCGTTCCACTTAGAATACCAAATGTCTATCGTGGGAAAATTTTTCCCGGAAACGAAGCGAACGAATGAGTGAACATTATAAGGTTTCCATTTGTAAAATCAACTCTCGATCAATTTCATGCGAAAATTCAATTTCTCTCTCTCTCTCTCTCTCTCTATTTCTATCTCATTCTTTCTTCCTTTCTTTCAAGAACGAATCGTCCCTTTTAGTCCGTAGAGCTCACTTTACTCGTGCATATCTGCGGCAATAGCAGTAACAAACGCAGATTAACATACCGCATTCGCGATGTGGCCAAGCGCCGTTACAAACTTGCACGATCCCGGAATCCCGGTTATTACGACGTCACGCGAAATTATACCCCCGTGGAAATTTAATCATCGCGGATGAAGTATAAATAACGTTAACGATGACGATGTGTAAACAGTATTAAATAACAATATTAATGCGCGAGATGTGGAGGGGGGGGAGGCGGAGAGAAGTGGGGAGGAAGGGAGGGAATATATAATATATAATATATAATTCGATTGATGCGCAGACGCGCGGAATAAATACGCGTGCCGGCGAAAACGTATCGCGATGCGAAAATCACCGCGATTACGCTCGCACGCGCTTGGCGTTTGACGTTTACAATCGATTTAATTTAATCCGCAACATTTACCTTGCCCGATTTTCCGCGATTCGCGGCCGGAATGATCGACATACAGATTTTCCGTCTAGATGTGCCGTTTGAATTACAACGCAGGATGGCGGGTGAAAAAGCAATCTAATTTTACAATTAGTGTCAATATAACACATATATACACATGTATATACACATACACAAGAGAAAACTTTTATTGATCTTTCACGGTTGTATTGCTATTATATTAATCTCTTATATTAATTATATATAATGTCCCACTTTCGCGTTACATTCTATATTTTTATCGTTACTATTAATTTTATTTGAGTCTTTAGAATTAGTGTCAATATCGCATATATAAGGAAACTTTTACTGATTTATTACAGTTGTATTAATATTATATATATTAATGTTCCATTTTTTCGATATATTTATTCTTGTACTTTTATTACCGTTATTTATCTTGTCGGAGTCTGGAATTAATACTTTACAAGATTAACATTATTTGCAAGATCGTCTTACTCTTCCCCGCCGCCACCCTGTATTACGGCCGCACTATATCATTCTGATCAGGTCTTGATCAATTCTCGAAATAAATTCAAAGTACGTTTCATAAATATAATGTTGTAAATATAAGAATGGCGGTGTGCACACCCACGCGTTACTTCAAATGTAGTCAAATGCTCAAACGCGAGCAGCCCAACCGTGAGAAAATCTTTCCGTATGTGTGTGTATGTGTGTGTGTGTGGGACGAGCCAGGCTGAAGGATAGAGTGTACAGGGTGCCTCTCTTCGTTATATCGCAGCGGCAGATTCTCTGGGCAACCCGATTTGCCACTCTGTAACGTTAAATATTTCCGCACCCGAGTCCCTCCACTTCAAATCCTTCGTTGAAGTTAACTCCACCTGCGGAATTATCCAGATAGCGCAATGTTGCTGTTCATTCAGTTCGCCAAATTCAGCGCAAATTCTTCCCCCTTGAACGTCTGTAATAATTTGTAAATCGTTGTAAAATTTTTGATGAAAGAAAGACCGACTTC